CTGTCTTCCGCTATAAGTGAAACGAGGCACTTTACACTCAGAAAAGGCCTGGCTGTGGTTCATAATAGAGCGGCTTTAAAATTCTGTTCTAGGCATTTGAAAACGGTGAATGGCGAAAAATGTCGGCTCGTGATCGTGGAAAGAGACTATACAAACTGGCCGACCTGATGGAAGAACACAAGGTATTTGTTTTGTATAGATTTTTTCAAAAATCGATATGGATAAAACCGTCACGGTACAATTTCACATCTAATGTTTTGTATGTTCTAGAACTTATATTTTTTCTTTCTAAAGTTTTTGTAATTTTAGGAGGAACTGGCCACACTTGAGTCACTTGACGCAGGAGCGGTCTATACGCTGGCACTGAAGACGCACGTAGGAATGTCGATCGATGTGTGGCGCTATTTTGCTGGATGGTGCGATAAAATCGAGGTTAGAGTTTACAGTAAATGGCACCCCTTTCCCGCCATTTGCAGTGTCACCGGCGATGTTCGTCGAGGGCGGCCCAGTCGATTGCACGGGCGGCTTTCAAGACACCCAGCAAGAATGGGAATCTTAAAACGGTAACCAGGAAGCCAAAGCGGAGCATGCGAAGAATAGACGGTATTAAGGTGAACCTGCATCCATCGCTTTCAGGGCCACACAATCCCAATTTCAAACGCCCGACCCAACTTCAACTTGACACTGACAAAGCGTGAGCCAGTCGGTGTGGTCGGTCTGATCACACCGTGGAACTACCCGCTTATGATGCTATCGTGGAAAATGGCTGCCTGTTTAGGCCGCCGGAAACACGGTCGTTCACAAACCGGCTCAGGTGAGCTTTCATGAGAAATTTGAGGGATACTTTGTTTCACGGTCCAAAAAATCGAACAAATTTGTTTATTTAGGTGACACCACTTACTGCGTTGAAATTCGCCGAACTATCAGTACTGGCCGGAATCCCTCCTGGAGTGATTAACATTGTAACTGGATCGGGAGGTTTGCTTTTTGTGGCTTGGGGTTTTGAGTAATTACCTGACCTGTGGAGTTGCCCCACTTTGTCATATGTCAGGAAAGCGAAAATTCTTTCGGCATATCCAGACGTGCCGAAAAATCGATTCACTTATCAACCGGAATACGGCGCTCAGTTATGCCAGGTATGGCTTTTCCTTTACTTTCTGTTAAAGTTGGTGGTGCAAAAATCTACATTTCTTCGCTTCTGAAACTGCTGCTAAGTTGATTAGTTGTTCACAACTTATTCAATTTCGGGTGTTCGGCTTGGTGGGGTCATCGAATTGTGCTCAGCTAAGCTTATAAAGACCACGGTGATGACCTGCAGTTCGCTGTGACCAAATTAGCTCATTCAAAAAAATTTCAAATAAGTCTACAAATCTCATTAAATTGAGACTTGTTGGTTAACATAAATAAAAAAGAACTAGCGAAAAATTACAAATCTCATTAAATTGAGACTTGTTGGTTAACATAAATGAAAAGAACTACGCGACAAGCGAGCTTCGTTAATAATTGCGTTATTTTTCAGCTGCGCCAAATCAAACGTCAAAAAAGTGTCTTTGGAACTGGGAGGTAAATCGCCATTAATCGTTTTCGCCGACGCAGACCTTGACAAAGCTATCAAGCAGACCTGCAATGCGGTTTGTTTCTACTTACTCATCTTGCAGGTTTTCCTATTACTTCAGACTGCCGAATCAATTTCCCATGAAGTTTGCCCACAGAGCACGCCTCGTGACCCGCGGGTGGATCGTTCTTGGGTATTTTGAAGGGAGGCAGCCAGGTGGTAATGCATTGGAAACCGCGTGCGAGTTTTCTCAGTTTTCCTTGGTGCACATGTGCCACTTACCCCTAAACCTTTCCCCCTCCCCCCGCCGACAGTTTTTGGGAAAAAGTGGAGAGATTTCGGAAAAAAGTTCCGAAAAAGACGGTAAGATTGAGGACCTTAGCACGTAGGATCGGGGAGGGACGAGAGGTCGTACCAGATAAACAAAGGGTTGCATTTCTTGCAGATTTTTCCACAACGCAAGCGCGTGCTTTTGGTGGTCACAGACAGCAGACTTGACTCGTCTTAGTGCGGTGATCCATGGGATTTAAAAAAATGGGTCACTTATTTCAAGTTCTTGTTCGAGCGCTACTCTAGCTGGCGAGTATGTGACAAGAGGAATCGTAATTCTCCGCGCTGGTTGAGCTTCGCGTGCGACGTCGCGCGACGCAAATGACGATGGTTCCAGGTAGTAGATGGCGACAACAGGCAATTCAGAACCGAAAATAGTCATGAATGTCTACGATGACGGGGTCTACATGAAGTCCGGTGCTCCAATCGACAGGTTAACACGAGTTAAGAAAACGCCGCGCCCATCGCCGCGTGCGGCGGAGCGGCAAATTACGATTCTCTTGCCCATCTCTCCCAGCTGGCAGGGGAAAAAATAATCTCTGCAAAGCCAGTTTTTGATGATAAGCCCTTCAACCCTTTTATCCTTTTTCCTGAAGAAATTTCCACCTCCTGTAAAATGTAGTCTTACAGGTGTTCTTCAACAAGGGTGAGAACTGTATCGCAGCTGGAAGAATTTTCGTTGCCAACAGCATTCATGACGATTTCATGGAGAAGTTGGTGGAAGAAACGAAAAAGGTGCGCCTTTTGCTTTTTCACAGCTTTCATAATTCCGCCGTATATTTGTTCTGGATGTTCAGTACGTCATCGGTGATCCACTCGACAGATCCACCAATCATGGACCACAAAATCACAAAGCTCATTTGGACAAGCTCATCGAGTACGTTCAGAAGTCAGTTGCCGGCGGGGCGAAGGTAAGCCATTCTTGCTTTTGTGTTGTAAATTGGACGCAAATGTGAGGTGAGCTCCCTAACTCTCCTCTGGAAGACCCTGAAATTAGAGCAAATTCCAGTTTCCTGAGGAACAGGGTACAGTGTTGTTGGGAGAATCCTACCTAAGGTCGTTCTTTGCCGGTGAGGAGGGGAGTCGTACGGTCCAACTAGAACAGGAAATTCTGGAGGTCGTAATGGTAGAAGAAATCCTATGGGGTACTGAAACCGCGATTCAACCCATCCCGAGACACCAGCGCTAACAAGGAAATCTCGTTTAATAGTATGGAGTCTCCTAAGTAGCATGTGGCATCAAAGCAGCGTTTTTTTTTCTAAAAATTCTGATAAGTGGAATTTTTTAGCTTGTGCTGGGCGGTGAACGACTCAAACGACCGGGTCTTTTCTTCCCACCGACAATTCTCGCAGAAGTTGAGGACGACAACTTCGCCGCCATAGAAGAGTCATTTGGTCCAATTATGTGCGTCAGCCGATTCGACGACGAGTGAGTTTATTTAATGAAGAGAAACAATTGAACCACAACAGTGCTAAATTGTGAGCAAAAGTCAGATCCCAGGCGGGAGGCAAAAAGGTTCGGAGCTATACGAAATTTTCACTTTTACCTACTAACGCCCATCCCATGGGAATCTGTTCAACAAACGAAATATCAAACTTTTTCCTAAGAACTGGAAAACGATCCTGACCGTCCTCACATGGTTTCTCCAAAGGAAAAAGTGGCGTGATGGGGCCTCTAGAATGTATTGTTCGGAACACAAGCAAATAGAAAACATAAACAAATAAATAGGTACAACAGACAAGTTTTTCGATCAACGTAATTTTCTAGCGATATCGACACCGTGATACGACGCGCGAATAAGACTGAGTTCGGACTGGCAGCAGGAGTCTTCTCAAAGGTGGCAATATAGACTTTCTCAAATATTATGAAAGTTTCTGAATATGGCGACATTTTCAGGATGTGTCAAAGGTTCTGCGTGTTGCGGACAGATTACAAGCCGGTACCGTATTCATAAACACCTATCAGAAAACGGATGTTGCCGCTCCATTTGGTGGATTCAAACAATCTGGTTTTGGAAAAGACCTCGGTAATGCTGTCTTGATATATGTCTATTATTGGGACTCCCTTGGATGGAGAGGAGTCCTTTAGAAGTCTCGCATTAAAGCGTTTAAGCGTTCCACTTCTTATTGAAGCTCAGGCTAGAACTTCCTAGGGAACGCAGTTGTACAGGAAGGGGAACATAAGGTCCGAATGGACCCGGCATATCTACAGATGGCTTGTTGAGTTGTCTAGGTTTTCCCATTTCATGTTCGCTATACTCCTCTCGCCTCACCCCTTGTTGCCGGCGCCGCAGGAATACCATACAAGTGCTGTTTCTGTTATTGTACCGTTATTAATTGAGTTAAAAAGAGACAAGCTGTAAACGTTATTCTGCATTAGCTGAAATTGGTAATTTGGTTGGGTACGGATCTCCTGCGCCTTCCCACACCGCTCCCGTAGAACGGGCAGCTTTTTTTTTTTTTTAAATAGAATAAACTCTGAAAAATTCTCGGAGTCTTGGAAGACTATAACTTTTCTGAAAATTGGGAAAAGTGATAGGAAGTTGGGAAAACTCAGGAGGATGGCATGCAGAACATGGAAGAAGATCCCATCAGGTGAGGAAGTTCAGGGGAGCGGAATGGCACTCTCATATCACGAAGCTGTACCATAATTTCAATAAGGTCGTTTGAAGGTAGCGAACACGCAGTTGGGGAGGGGCGGAGAGGGGGGAGGGACGCTTCCGCGCTCCCTTTCCCGCGTCCATCAGTTTAATCGCTTGATTTTTGGCCGTAGCTGGGTGACAAAGATCACTGAACGGGTGTAGTACTAGAAAAAGGGCACGTCCTACGTTGGGGAATCCCCAACGGTGGGAGGCCGTGTTCGGTTTCTGGAGGAATTGGGTCGTATTTGGTCTCATGAAAAGTATTTTTTGGAGTTCTTTTTCCCTGTTTCCCCACATCGCTGGGAGAATTGCTGAATCCTCACTGTATTCATCTTCGAGAGAAATTTGCCGCGCTTCCCCGTTTTTCCCGTTACTCTAGTGTCATGTATCCGCCCGTTCGAGGGCGAAATTTTTGGTAAAAACTGGAAAATTTAGGGAAGTTTCGACAAAAGCTTGGATAAGTTGAAAGGCAAGGCAGTAGGGTAAGGATGGGAAGGAGAGGGGGTCGTAGCAGAGGACGAAGTTGAGGGAGGCGTATTTTCCGAAAATTTCCCCCAGTGGCAGGACGGGCCCTGACTAGAACCCCGTCACGACAAGAGGTTGAAGCGTCGTTGTTTACGGTGTGCGCAGCATTCGCACCAGGACCTGCTTTGATGTAGAAGTGCCGTAGTATGTCGAGTCAACTAACTAGGAATAATTAGCGCTGCTATAGCATGGATTTCACGCGTCTTAAACGTTCAAAAAAAGGAAAAATCGATATTCAGTACCAGCAGATTTTGAACGTGCCTGTTCACTAATGTGCAATTTTAGGTTACGAAGCATTGAACGAGTATCTACAGACGAAAACGATCACATTCGAATATTAAATATTGACGTCACTAAATTTATTTCACTGTACGCCTTTAGGCTACCTATTAGTTGTTCTAAACAGTATTTTTCGAAATATTGTCTAACTGTGATACGTTTAGATGTTTAAAAAGAATTTATATAACAAATAAATAGTTCTATTTTCTA